AGAGAACAAACTGATGGATGCCAGATAGGAGGGGCATTGGGGGCTGGCTGAAAAGAGGTGAAAGGATTAAGCAGTAAGTACAAATTGGCAGTTACCAGAGTCACAGGGATGTAAGTTACAGCATAGGAAATAAAGTCAGTAATATTGTAGTAACTATGTATGGTGTCAGGCAGGTACTAGCCTTATAGGGGGATTGCTTTGTAAGTTATATAAATGTCTTAACCACTATACTGTACACCTGAAATTAATATACAATTGAATATCTACTATAATTGAAAAAAAATTTATAAGAGAAAGTTTATTTAGGAAGTCACGGAGGTAGAAGTGAGCTGTAGAAGGAATGGGCTCAGGAAACAAGTTACAGAGGCAAAAGAAGGGCCCTTGGAGTTTAGGAGAGAGATGCAAGGAAAAGGTCCTTGGGGGAGGGGGTGGGGAAAGACAGGGGTGTGCTTGGGAGACAGAGAGTGAGAGGGAGGGAGGGAGAGAGGGAGAGAGCAAGTGAGAGAGCGCCACCTTAAAGAAAATTTTTTAAAAATAGAATTTCAAGAAAGGAAAAAAAAAACAACAAGCAAGCTGGCAGAGGAGGCTCCCAACAGTGTGTGTGGATGCTGAGCAAAGGTGTTTTGCCTGCCTCAGAGATCTGTCTGTTCCCAAAGGGCTGAATGTCCCCAGACTGCAAGAGGACAGATGGTGTGGGAGGGGCCAAGGGCCTTCCGGTTCTCTCAAGCAGTAGGCTCATGGAATGAAAGTTGGTATATGAGCTCAAAAATGGGTCAGATTTTCTTAATCCAGCTGCGACAGGATTAAAAGAGTAGAGGTGTTGCCAAGACTCTGGCATTACATTTCTCTCAGATTTTGCATGGTGTTGAAAGATTTCTAATTTCCATATTTCTTCAGATATGTTTTAGGGAGAAGTTGAGAGATAGCAGGGGGCTATTAGGGAGCCACTGTTTTTCACCAGACAGCCAGGTACTTCCTTCTACGACAGCCTCAGCAGGTTGGCTTTTCTCTCTGTCTCTCTTTCTCCAATTGAGAAATAATTACATACAGTAAAATGCTCAGATGTTAAGCATACAGTTGAGTTTTGACAAAGGTATATACCTGTATAACCAATGCCCCCCAAAGATAGCAAGCACTACTATCACATTCCCCTGTGCCATTTCCAATGCCCCATCAGAGGCAACCCTTATTTTAATTGTATCCCCAAAAGATGATTTTCCTTGTTCTTGAACTTCATATGAATGAAATCATACTACACATACATTCTTGTGTCTGACTTTTTGTACTCAATATTTTTGAGATTTATCTGGGTTGTTGGGTGCATCATCAGTAGCTCATTTCTTTTTATGGATGAGTAGTATGCTAGTGTATGAATATAATGCAATTTATTCATTCATTTTCTGAACAAGTCTCTTCTTTCTGGGGGTCCAGCCTTGTTTTGGAGCTGGGTATGTCTTTGTGTGACCCTTTTCACTAACACACTAATGGGGTTGTTTCTACTATGTGGAGTTAAAGGATAAAAAACTAGGCTTTTTAAAGGACCAGCCTAATTTACACATATGCTATAAATGGAAACTGGATGTAATACATACTCATTTAGTTAAAGCTATTTCTGCACCAGGAGATTAATTAAAACCCTGTGACAATGACCCACACATGAGGTAACTGAAATCTAGTTTTTTTGCTATGATAAGAGGGAGGGACAGACAGGATAAATAATTTCACAGGAAGACTTGATAGAGGTTTGTGACAGATTAAATGTATGGAGTGAAGGAGCAATGACTCGACAGCAAGCCATTTGCCTGTTGAGTTCCTCTTCTCTTTATAGCTAGGGCCAGTTGGTCCCTCTGCGGCTCTGTCCTATTAGGGAATTTAAGGAGCCACTGTTCAGTGGCTCAGCCTGCCTTCCAGGCCCACTTGTACCTTTCATTCCTGGTAGCTAAGCTCTCACCACACACCGTGGGACTTTTTATTATTATTTATTTTATTTTATTTTATTTAATCCTCACCCGAGGATATTTTTCCATTGACTTTCAGGTCGGGGATGGGGGAGAGAAACATCGATGTGAGAGAGACACATCAACTGGTTGCCTCCTGCATGACCCCAGCCAGGGACAGGGATCTAACTGCAACTGAGTCACGTGCCCTTAAATGGAATCGAACCTGAGACCCTTATGTCTGCAGGCTGATGCTCAAACCGCTGTGCCAAACTGGCCAGGGCCACCATGGGACTTTTGAAAGGTGTAGTGACATTGTGGAGAGAACAGTGAATGTGAACTTGGTTAGTTTTTCATTCTTTCACTTACTGAGGTTGTCTAAGTCTCAGTTTCCTCATAGGTAAAGTGAGGATGAATAAATAAATATCCCTACCCTACCAGATCATTTTGAGAATCAGAGGAATAGACTTGAATTTTCTTGAAATGTTTCACAAGAAGTTAATAAGCCCTGGGTGGGTAGTTCAGTTGGTTAGAGCATTGTCCCAATACACCAAGGTTGCAGGTTTGATCCCCAGTCAGGGCAAATGCAAGAGTCAACCAATGAATACAACAGTAAGTGGAACAGCAAGTTTCTCTCTCTCTCTCCTCCTCCTCTCCCCTTTCCTCTCTCTCTCAAAACAATTATTTATTTATTTATTTTTTCAAAACAATTTTTTAAAAAGTTAATCAGATAAATTACTTGTAGGAGAGGGTAAGTGGAATGGGGGAGGAAGTGGGAGTGAAACTTTTAGGGATACCTTTTTTAAAAAATCCTCACCCAAGGACATTTTTGCAGTTATCTTCAGACAGAGTGCGAGGGAGAGAGGGGGAAGAGAGAGAGAGAGAGGGAAACATCGATGTGAGAGAGACACATCGACTGGTTGCCACCCACACAATCCCAACTGGGGCTGGGGACAAACTGCAACCAAGGTATGTGCCCTTAGTGGGAACCAAACCTAGGACTCTCTGGTCCACTGGCCGATGCTCTAACCGCTGAGCCAAACCGGCCAGGGCGGGATACCTTTTTTAAACCATGAGAACATATACCTTTTCAAAACAAACATATGTCTATAAGATTCCTAATTTCTAATTTCTTCAGATATGTTTTAGGGAGAAGTTGAGAGAGAGCAGGGGGCTACTAGGGAGCCACTGTTTTTCACCAAACAGCCAGGTACTTGTTTCTACAACAGCCTCAGCAGGTTGTTCATGAACAGAATCAAATGAACTATCCATATAAATGGGTAGGCATTCTAGGCTGCTAAAAGAGAATGGGGACCAGAAACTGGCTACCTCCTATCTGTAAGAATCTTCAAAGTCCATTAACCCAGACGTCCTGTCACTCCAGGATAGCTGGACAATAGGGAATTGTTTCAGCCTAATGACAAAAAATGGTCTGCCTGGGTTGCAGTGAGAGGAACTCTGGTCCAGGAGTAAAGAGATCTGGATCCTGGTTCTGGCTTTACTATGTAATTCCCCTTTCTATGTCTTCTGTTGAGCAGAGGAGCAAGACTGCATGACTTTTGAGATGCTTCCAGCCCTGACATGCTAGAATATAATGCTAATTTCTTTCTTTTTTTTTTAATCCTCACCCGAGGACATTTCTCCATTTTTTGTACAGATAGAGTGGGAGGGAGAGAGAGAGAGAGAGAGAGAGAGAGAGAGAGAGAGAGAGAGAGAGAGAAACATCGATGTGAAAGGGACACATCAAGTGGCTGCCACCCGCACGACCAACCAGGGCCAGGGACAAACTGCAACCGAAGTACGTGCCCTTAGCGGGAACCGAACCCGGGTCTCTCCGGACCGCAGGCCAGCGCTCTAACCGCTGAGCCAAACCGGCCAGGGCTATAATGCTAATTTCTAAGCAACAGAGGTTATCATGATGTCTGTAAGGGATTTGCTAGTGGCATTTTTATATCTAAAGTAAGAACAGGCCACGAATTCCATGATTATATTTTCACCTTTTATTTCCCTTGACACTGAAGTAAATATCCAAAAGTGATGAGTCGAGTGGAGTATATATTCCAGGAAAAGGAAACTGAGTCTTGTTTCAAAGTGCCATTGGTACAATCCCAGTGTTGCTTGCTATTCATATAAGGCTGAGACTGTATTAATGATACTTTATGAATATGTGGGACTTTATATGGCTATCAGTGAGTAGGGTCTCAAATATAGTTCAAATTCTAACAAGACTCAAACATGAACTTTGGTGCCAAGGAACTCACCTCCTCCTGAAGTGCATTGTTCCACTTTTATGTTGCTGAAATCATTAGGGAACTGTTCCTTAGGCTGAGCTAAAATCTTTTTTTTTTTAATCCTCACCCGAGGATATATATATATTTTTTATCCTCACTCAAGGACATTTTTTGATATTTTGTTCAGAAAGAGTGGGAGGGAGACAGAGAGAGAGAGAGAGAAACATCGACGTGAAAGGGACACATCGAGTGGTTGCCACCCGCACGACCCAACCAGGGTCCGGGACAAACTGCAACCGAGGTACATGCCCTTAGCAGGAACCGAACCTGGGACTCTCTGGTCCGCGGGCCGATGCTCTAACCGCTGAACCAAACCAGCCAGGGCTTTTTTGATTGAGTTTTAGATTGAGTGGAAGGGAGGGAAGAAGAGAGGGAGAGGGGATGAGAGAGAAAGAGAGAGAGACAGAGAGAGAGAGAGAGAGAGAGAGAGAGGGAGAAGAAAAGAGAGAGAGGGAGACATGAATGTGAGAGAGACATATAGATTGGTTGCCTCCCACACAACCCCAACTGGGGCCAGGCATTGAATCCACAACCCTTAGGTCCACAGGCCAATGTTCTAAACAATGCCAAACTGGCCAAGGCCTAAGCTGAAATCTTGACTTCATGTAACTATTAGTTCTAGTTTTGCTCTCTGGCCTACAAACTACACCTGGCCAAGTTTGCAAACTGATGAAATGTGGGTATTGGACCATATCTGTTGGCTCTTTATAGCATTTAAAAATATCTCAATTAGTTTCCAACATTAAAATATCATGAATTTTTTTACATAAACTGTTTCTGGCTTCTCTTAAAAGATCTGTGTAAAAGACTGCATACAGGTGCGAAAAATAAAGCCTCTCTTGCAACCCAGAACTCATTGTTCAGTATGAGTTTTGATACATATAAGAAGGAACATTATACCTAAAACAAATGTTGGCTCCAGGACTGTAGAACTAATAATTTTAAAAGCATAGACTATAAGGGAAATCTCAGCCATACTGATTTAGTATCCTAATTTTAATGTTGATAATGAAACAAAGATGACTTATTTTCTTAGGATTTTACCTTGAGAACACATGTCTGGACTTAAAGGTATTTGTATATCCTGACAATCTGTACTAGTCTAGGGAGTGATAGTTTAGGAGTGAATATGATTTTAACTTACTCATGTTTAGAGGGTGTGTAAAATTGATAAGCCAGGCCAATCCACCTACTCTGACCCTAACTGTGGCACTAAAGTAAATTGCATGAAGAAATTGGGTTCCAACAATATAGATGGGGAATTGTTGAAGTATGTCCATATTCAAGTGTAGCTCAAAGAAGCTCAACGAAAAGAACTGTGGACTGACTGAAATGCCAACTGGATTGAGCACAAAAAGGAATTAATGAGTCAAACTTCGGAGAAACTAAGGCAGTGTGGAAGAACTCAGAACATGTGAAATTTCTTAAATAAAAATTTATTAATTTGAAATAATTGTGCATATGTTACAAATAATAAAAACCCTTTATACTTTTTGGAAAAAAAAAAATCTATGTAGTTGCCTTCCCAGTATGATTCTTCTCTTTTCTATAACATTCAAAGTTTTGTACCAGTCTCAATCCTCCCTGGCTCAGCCTATGTGCCTGGGGAGAGGCTGATCCCACCCTTGGTTCTAGGACAGGGCATGCAAACTAGTCCTAATTCATCAGCATAGTCCCCCTCTTGTCACCTTTATTGATTCAGAAATGAGCACTGTCTTAGAGATTAGGGTCCCTGGAAACAGAATCTGAGATGGAGAGTTGCATGCAGAAGTTTATTGAGGAAAGCTCTCAGGTCCGCCTGTGGGGTCATGAAGAAGACAGGTGGACGTGGGGAGAAGCTGACCACAACAATGGTTGCAATGTAGTAGTTGCAACCAAGGTCTCAGCTAATCCCACCAGTACCTCAATAATGGGCATTGCCCTGACCGGTTTGGCACAGAGGTTAGGGTGTCAGCCTGAGGACCAGAGTCATGGGTTCGATTCCTGGTCAAAAGTATGTTCCTGGGTTGTAGGTTCGATCTCCAGCCCTGCTCAGTGTTGTGCGGGAGGTATCCAGTCAATGTGTCTCTCTCACATCAATGTTTCTCTTTCTCTTTCTACCCCTCCCTCCCTTCCACTCTATCTAAAAATCAATGGAAAAGGATCCTTGGGTGAAGATTAACAAACTAAAAAAGGAGTGGGCATGGCCCTTCAGAGTTGTTCCAAATTGAAATAAGGGACAACTTATTCTCACGTTAGCCAGTCACTGGCCTCCAGCTTTACCCTGGGAGGGTGTGTAAAACCTTGGAGGAAGTGGTTTTCTAAGGTTGAGAACAAGAATATTCCCAGTAGCTGAGGGATGTGTGTGTCCCTACTGAAGAGGTGATCTGGGTGGAGCCCCCTACTATCTACAGGCACATGACCCCATCTAGGTTAACAGAGGTTTGCTAGGGACTCCTGAGAAAGAGGCTTCCAGAAGTGATCTTTATCTGCCCGGATGTGGGTGAGGAGCCCTGGCCCTTGTTGGCAGCCACCTCACATCGACGTCAGCTTTGATGACATTGGTGTTCTGCTGAATCAAATTAACCTTGAAGCTTGAATTGCCCTGGACTTTTAGTGTGAGCTTCACTGTCATAAGTCAGTTTTTCAGTTGTGTTTTAGTTACTTACAGGTGAATGTACTTTGACACATTCTGCCAACCAGGAGCTGTGTTTTCTGGTAATTGCCTGCTGAGTAGCAGCTGCCCTCCTTTTAGATGGGTCACTTGGTTTCCGGTGTACTAGTGCCCACTAGGCTTTAGGAATGGTAGCAGAGAGCTAGATCCTAATCTTCTAATAGTAGGAGGTCAATAGATAATGTCTAAAGTGGCAGCAGAAGCATGTGTTTATAAATATGCAAGTAAACATCAGAAGAAATAGCTAAAAGAGTTGGCAGTAGTTGCCTCTGGGGCCATCTCTCTGGGTGGGATGGGACAAGAGAACATAGCAGTTTTCTGTGGGAAGCCTCAGCGCCCTTTGACCTGAAGCTTGGTGTACTCCTGTTGAGAATGCAGGCTCTGGGGCATCTGCACTGTGCACTGTGACTCTCCCATCACCCAGTTGTCATGCCTTCCTCTGGCCTTTCTTCTGGGGAGGGCGTTTCCTAAGTGCTGGTTGAATAATCATCTTGAGCTACCCTTTCTCTTTTTTTTTTATCCTCACTCAAGGACAATTTTCCATTTTTTGTTCAGATAGAGTGGGAGGGAGAGGGAGAGGGAGAGAGAGAGAGAGAGAGAGAGAGAGAGAGAGAAACAGCGACATGAAAGGGACACATCGAGTGGCTGCCACCCACACAACCCAACCAGGGCCGAGGACAAACTGCAACCGAGGTACGTGCCCTTAGTGGGAACCGAGCCCAGGTCTCTTTGGACCGCAGGCCGACGCTCTAACTGCTGAGCCAAACTGACCAGGGCTACCCTTTCTCTCTTGATTAACTTATTTACTCTTCTGCATCTGGGAGACTTCTTTCCCTACTCTTGATCTCTCTCCTGAAGCTCCACATCCTTATTTTTTCCACAGAACCACCTTGGAGCTCCCCTGCCCTATCTCAAGCTTACATGAGGAGATAACCAAGGTCCCTCCCAGCTATGACACTATGTGGTCTAAAAAAGAGATGAAAACATTTAACAAGTCATAAGAATGTATCTCATTTACTTAAGATTATTAGTTATTTTTTCTTTTGTCAGAAGAAACAGGTATTACTGAGTACTAACTGTGTGCCATGTTTGATACCAGATGTTATCATATGGTCTTGCTGTTTTAACATCTTTTCATGTCCTAAAGTTTTTGTTTCCTAAGTATAAGCATCTGTAAAATATATATAAAGTTATAAGGACTGAATAAGTTAATGTTTGTAAAGCTTTTTAAAAAGTACTTAATACAAAGTTATTAATTAGCACAACACTTGGATAGCTGTATTTGTGTGTGTGTTATGTGTACTGGACTTTAGGGATAATAAGAAAATACTATTGTTCTTTTTTTAAGATTTTTTTTAAAAATTAATTTTTAGAGAGGGAGAGAGAGAGAAACATTGAAGTGAGATCTAAACATAGGTCAGCTTCCTCCTGCATGCCCCACTGGGGATCGAGCCCACAACCTAGGCATGTGCCATGACCAGGAATCAAACTATCAACCTTTTGGTGCACGGGATGACAACCAACCAACTGAGCCACACTGGCCGGGGCAAAATACTCCTGTTCTTTTTTTAAATTTTATTTTATTTAATTTTTTTTTTATCTTCATCCAAGGACATTTTTGCATTTATCTTCAGATAGAGCGGGAGGGAGAGCAGGAGGGAGAGTGGGAGGAAGAGAAAGGGAGAAACATGCATGTGAGAGAGACACATCGAGTGGCTGCCACTTACACGACCCCAACCCGGGCCACCGAGGTACGTGCCCTTAGCGGGAACTGAACCTGGGACTCTATGGTTCATGGGTCGATGCTCTAACTGCTGAGCCAAACCGGCCAGGGCTTTTTAATTTTTATTATTATTGTTTTTAATCCTCACCCGAGGATATTTTTACATTTATCTTCAGACAGAGTGGAAGGGAGAAAGAGAGAGAGAAACCTTAATGTGAGAGAGACACATTGATTGGCTGCCACCCACACAACCCCAACCAGGGCAGGGGACGAACCACAACCGAGGTATGTGCCCTTGGCCAGAATTGAACCTGAGACCCTTTGGTCCACAGACCGATGCTCTAACTGCTGAGCCAGACTGGCCAGGGCTAAAATACTCCTGTTCTTAAGAGTCACCTTTTAGGAGAGACAGACAAAAAGTGATATTTAACTATGGTTACAGTGTGATAAGATCTTTTATCAGGAATACGATATAAGGAATATGACCAAAGTACTGTAAGAATCCAGATTGGGGGAAAGGACAGTTCTTCACGGGATGGGGTTGGAAGAGGAGGCTCAGGAAGATTTCACCAAGGAAGTGTCATTTTATTTATTTATTTATTAATCCTCACCTAAGGATATTTTTCCATTGATTTTTAGAGAGAATGGAAGGGAGGAAGTGAGGGAAGGAAGGAGAGAGAGACACACACACATCAATTGGTTGCCTTTTGCACAACCCTGACCAGGACTGAGGATCAAACCCGAAAGCTGGGTACATGCCCTTGACCAGAATTGAACTCGCCACCCTTTGTTCTGCGGGCCAACACTCTAACCACTGAGCAAAACCAGCCAGGGCAAGGATGTGTCATTTTAAATGGGCTTCAAAGGACAAACACAGCTTTCTAGGTTGACAGAAAGGATATTTCAAGTAGAGAAACTAGCACTAGGCAAAGTCCGAAGAAGTAGCTTTAAAGGGTCTAGCATGTTAGGGAAGAAGAAAAATGTTCATTACTTTAAGAATTATAGCTATTGCCCTGGCCGGTATGACTCAGCGGTTAGAGTGTCGGCCCACGGACCGAAGAGTCTTGGGTTCGATTCCTGGTCAAGGGTGTGCAACCTTGGTTGCAGGTTCGATCCCTGTCCTCAGTCAGGGTCGTGCAAGAGGCAACCAATCGATGTGTCTCTCTCTCCCTCCCTTTCTCCTACCCTACCTAAAAAAAAAAAATCAATAGGAAAAATATACTCCGGTTAGGGTGTTAAAAAAAAAAAGTATAGCTACTGAAAGACCTGGCATAGAGAACTTCCAGGAAAATCTCAAGCAACTTCAAGTCTGGATGGGAAGAACCTCTCATACAGTACACTGTGCAGTGTTTACTTTTTAATGTTTTGGGGTCTTTTTATTGTGGTAAACTTCACCATTTTAACCATTTTAAGGTATACAGTTCAGTGGCATTTAGTACATTCACAATGTTGTGCAACCCACACCACTAGTTCCAGAGCATGGTCACTCCCCCTTCTGCCTCCCCTTGTCCCTGACAACT